GCTCCCATAAAGCGCTGGGGCCCTCGACGGTCGGCTTTGGGGCTCCCATAAAGCGCTGGGGCCCTCGACGGTCGGCTTTGGGGCTCCCATACAGCGCTGGGGCCCTCGATGGTCGGCTTTGGGGCTCCCATAAAACGCGAGGCCCCCTGAATCTCTCAGGGTATGAATGCCCCTCTAAGGCCCCTGGATAGAGAGCTACACTGCGGAGGAAGAAGCCCACAGCTCATAAATACCTACACAGCCTACGCTTCACCCGGAGCACAACTCAGTCTTTTTCCCTCCTGCTTCCACACAGCTTATTTATCCTCACGAAGGCAATTAATCCAAAGCAGGGCCAGCTGTGTGTCATTAAACAGAGCCATTGGGAGGCAGGCAACTGATAATCGATGGCTTCCACATGTTTAAATCTTATATCGTAATGTCAGGTATTACAGAATGAAGAAAGATGATCTGAGCTCTTCATAGGGCAGGGTTGGACAAGGGGCTTTGTTCATTTGATCCCACTTCTTCGTTTAAATACAGGAGGTCTTTGAGCACAGATTTCAAAAGCTGGGGTGTGTTTGCACTGCAAAAACGTCTTTATTGTTTTTAAATAACAGGACCCAGCATTGTCTTAGTTTGCTAAATGGATGGGACTGAATTTACATGACTGTTTCAGAATATTATTATACAGGTACACAAACCTTCCAACATATAAATATATGTTCCTTCTACTCAGTGGAACAGAGACATGAGGTTAGTATTTGGCTCCTGCGTGTCTCTGCGTCACCCAGCGAATGATCATCATCCTTATGATGTATGTGCATGAGCCAGATGAGACAGCACACTGGGGAAGTGGTAGCTGCTCTGCTGCAGACAGACTGGCGCTGCAGCAGGTACTAAAGACTGCGCAGAGGATCTTGTGTAGCAGTCTGCCTACGATCCCAGACATCTACACCAGCAGGTGCAGGAGGAAGGCCACCTACATCATGAGGGACTCTGCCCACCCTAAACACCCTGCGTTTGTCCCCTTACCATCCAGCAGGAGGCTAAGCAGCATCAGGGCTGTAACCTCTGGGATGAGGAGCAGCATCTTCCCTGATGCTGTGACACTGACTGTGCCTCCCTTTGCCCTTTGACCCCTCAGCAACCCCCCCCCCCCAACACGAACATGGTCATCGCCACTATGTACAGAGAAATTTGACTGTCATACAGCAGACCTACTGAGTACACCTTCCTGATTTAGCACGTTGTTGCATCTCATACTGCAATGTCACTTCTCTGCCACATTTTATTTGTATTCACTGTATTTTTTACACCTTTATCATTTTCAATTCCATTCTCTTAACTTACTTTTTATATTTTTATACTGTGTGCCAGGACTCGAGGAAACACATTTCGTTCCTCTACGTGTATTGATGTGCAGGAATGACAATAAAAACCTTTGAATCCTGAAATCACCTTCTCACCCGCACCCACCTGGTACTTCCTGGCCAGACTGGAGCACCTGTCAGCTGAGCGCGATGGCCGCATGCGGCAGCGGCATCAGGACGCGCATGCTGGACTGCGTGCGCAGCGATGGCAAGTCCGTCGACCTGAAATACTGCGCGGAGGTGAGCGGCACGTCCACCATTATGGATTCATCATCACGTTCTCATTTCAGCTCATCTAGTTTCGCACATAAAAACAGAAGCATGGAAAACACATTATTTCTGATAAAACTAATAAATTATACACATCTCACATTGCTGAAAAAGTGAAGGTAACTTCAGAAATGGTCACACAGCCACATTAAGGAGATGAAATGTATTAGCATTTAATTATAGCTGTGCGAGATTTAGCCAAACATGATCTTCATTACTTCAGACATTAATTATCCCCATACCTGCTTTGAAATTGGTAAAACTTCTATCATGATGCAATCCGTGACTATACATTGCATAATTTCCTAAGTTAATTAAATTGAGTTAATTTTTCTGTGCAGCGGAATCAGATAGCACTGCTCAATGTTGAGTTACTGAGTACAGCTTTTCTTTGATGCAAATTTTGGTCTGTAGGGAAGATTTGGTCTTTTTCACGCTGGTTTTCATTCAACCAGTTATACCCTCGATTGAATGGGGATTATTTCCCTAATTAAACCAATTAAACGTTCTGGTTCTGAAGTTATTAGTAGTTCAGAAACAGCAGGAGGCCATACATATGGAGCAGAACACTGGAGCCACGAACAAAGACCATTAGTCTACAGTGCAGATACTCAAAATGCAGCCTTTTAAATACCAGTGAACCCAGACTGAACGTGGCACCAGGAACAGAAGTTTTCTCCACAGCCTGAATCGACCCATTTACCTCCAACCGGCAGCCGATATAAGCCAAACGTTTGGCCTGCGTGATAGATCCCCCGACAATTTTATCAGGGGAAGTGACCCTTGGCTTTGTGCTACTGATGGAATTTGACCCTTGGAATAAAATTATTGTAAATATAAAATACAGAAAATTGTTCACATGCACTGGACAAGCAGACATAAATTTTGTCCTTCCTCTCTTGCAGCTTGGTCTGGAGAAGAAGTGGCAGCTTAATGCTTCTTGCGTGGTGGAATGCCCCATTAACTGCCAGCTCTCTGACTGGTCGCCCTGGTCGGAATGCTCGGAGACCTGTGGACTTACAGGTATGATCCATCCTGACTGTCTTGTTCAATGTATATGCTGAAACAATAGGGAGGATTCTTTTGTACTCAGACCAGAACATATTGAGCAATAGCTAAAGTGATGGATAGGAATATGATGTGTAAAGGGTTAAGATAAAAAAAAAAACCATAAATTTCCTCAGCTTCTGGATTCAGAATGTTATGTAAAAAAACACTCAAAAAGTTTTTTTTGTGAAATATTTTACAAACATTATTCTAACACATCATCTGAGTCACAAAGTATAAAAATGCCCTTTTGCTTTTCTACCGAATCAGTCAATTCTGATCTGTTGTCCTGGATTGAGGCCAATTCTGTTCCTGGAGTTTTAAATACAACCGAACCTGGAGCAGAATTACTCCGTACTATGATATAAAATCAGCATTGTCACAGTAAGATATGTAATATGTCACCTGTTTTTTTGGTTTCAGTGTTTCTTATTTGATGGAATATCAGCTTTAAAGTTGCTTTGCAGTGCATTCAGTTATTCTGTAAGTGATTCTTGTTTCAGGTCATTCCACAATCTCACACCTGTACCCAGGTGACCCGCATGGGCGATAAGCCCCAGCTCGTGTCCAATTGGCACGTGTGGTTCATGGATCTGGGGTAATTGACTTGATCCAGAGCCATCTTGAGGCTCTCTCAGTGATGTTCTTGGTAGCTTTCCTGTTGTGCAGGCCAAGGAGACCCTATATAGAAATTGCACTGCAAAGACCTGAAACCTGAATGGGCAAACACAGCTCAGAAACACTTACCTTACTATTCCAGATATAAGTATCATGTCTGACCTAAGCATGGTCTCTGTAATGGACTTCAGGCACTTGAATTCCTTGCCCGGGTTGACCTTGAGCTTCCAGTCCTGCTCGATGGCGAGGAGCTCATCTGTCACATTCAGTTGCAGCTTCAGGTTCTCTTCCACAATAAAAAAGCTCTGGCCTCCTTCACTGGGTGAGAGCCCTTGTTCGCAATGATCCCCATGCATCTGTTGTCACCTTCAGCACCTGATTGTGGTTCCAGCGACAGCACCCCTCTCCCAGAACCTGTTGGTGACAGTTGTGTTACAATGATCGACTTCTCCTACACAATTGGCACGATCAAAAATGCTTAGCTGGGCTAGAGATCAGAGATTGGATCAGGAACTTGATGTGGGGTGACTTTGCTTTCCAGAGCTCTGACCAAGAAGGAAAACCTTGCTTGCTTCCACGTAGCCCAGGTACTCTGCTGCCTCTTCCCCACCTTCCACTAGAACCACTTCCTTGAACCAATTGGCACATTTCCTTGCCACATGCTTTACCGGAGCGAGCTCTCAGCATGCTACAAAGCCACAATTTGTCATATTTTCTTTGGAACTGGCAAGATAGCCACTGCCTTACTGCCCAAGAAGCTGCTTATACTGCCATCTTAAGGATTTGTGCTTAAGCTGGCTGATCTTCAACGGTTTGGTCCAAAGGCAGCACTGGACACATGCCTCTTTTGGGCCGCACCTCCTGGTGGATATGCTTATGATTGTTTATGTTATCTGATGATGCTGGTCTGCATAACCCCTGGCTATGGCTTCAAGAACTCCTCCTTCATCCTTAACACACTGGAGCTGCTCTCTCTCCTAGTTAGCTGGAGGCCACTTAGCCTGCCAGTATTTTGACTCTCTGCCTTGGGGCGGAGTCGGTAGAATCTGGAGCTTCTGGGCACCGTGGAGTGACTCCGCTTTTGACTTCTCTTTTGTGTCTTACATAATCAAAATAAATGAAATGCGGACTTTCAGTGGCCGCTTTATTTGGTACGTCTGGCTAACATAGGGTAGACCCCCCTTTTTGCCTACAGCACAGTTTAAATTGTTCCTGGTTCTGATTCAAAATGGTGCTGAAAACTTTGTGCATGGAGTTTTCTTCATAACATTCCTCTACTTGTAGTCTTCCTTTCAGCTTTAATAGTGCCCCTCTGACCACTCTCAGCAACGACTGACTCAATCTTTTTTTGGTTTATTCTTAATATTTTCTGTAAACCCTGGACACTGTACAATGTGGAAAATCCCAGAATGACAGCTGGGTGCTGGAACCATCGTGTTTGGCACCGACAATCATAACATGTTAAAAATCACACTATAGCTCGTTCTGAAGCTTCGGACAGTAAGTGAATCTATTGACCCAGTCTCTGTGTTTTATGCGTTGAGTCACAGCCAAATGATTCTCTCTTTGTAGGAGCAGGTTGTTGGCATAACCAAGCAGGCGTACCTGATAAAATGACCACTGAGTACGACACAGATTGTGATGAGGTCAATTGGTAATTCTAAGTGGATGTAGGGTCCCTGTGGCGTTAATGTGTAAACGATATTAATACCACAATGCGAGATAATGACAGGATGTTTAACTGTATGCTGCTCCTGGATTTTATAACCGTGACCAAGCTGACATGACACACAACTTTATTATCTATTTAATATAAGCAATTTTAGGATCTGAAATTGCTGGTAAGGTGTTTAAACTTTCATGTGGATATCCATCAAAAATTCACCACCCAAAACACATTTTCTGTTGACAGACTTTTATTAGATGTGACACGTGGACCTTTTTACAATGTGGAGTGAGCAACCTTATCTAGACAGGACATGTATCTGGGAGTCCTATTCATTCTTCGTCCTGTGATCGGAAGTGGTTTTTGGGCTGTAAGTCATGCAGAAAAATGGTGACGAATTTGTTTCTGCGTGTGGAAGCGATGCCGTTTTTAAAGATTTTAATATTTTAAGGGGGGATCCATTCTCAGAGGCGACTGCTGTAATTTGGTTCATGCAGTCATTTATGGGAGCACTGCCACTAGCAAGCAGCCAGCTACCACTCCATCAGGAACTATACAGAAATCCTGATAAACCCAGCAAGAGCCGCACCAGGCTCAGCTAGACGTGAGATGCAGAATAGTGGAGTCCTATTACCTACACTGTGTCAATCTCCACTGCTAATACTCTGAAGTTTCACTTGCAGCCTTGCTGATTTGCTTCTGCTTCTGCCTCACATTTCAGATACACATTTCCAAAGGCATTAGCAGGACAGCGGAAAGCAAAGTCTCCTCTATCACAGGCATCAACATCAACATATGCAATTAATAATAGCTGGATCATGTACCCAGTTTCTATTTCGCAGAATAGCCCTCTATAATAGGACTACCACTCCCAGCCTTATGACCATGCACACCCACTGATATGCGTTACGTTACAGTATGAACACCACACACCCGATAGCACCCACAACAGTGCCGTATTATGTGACTTGTGGAAGCTAGATATTCTGCTCTGCTGGAGTGAAGGGGCAATTCACAATGCAAGCGAAAAGCTTTTAGAATTCAAACAAGACGCAGAGGGTGGAATCGGATGATGGTCTTGTTACACCTTGTTACAGGCAGAAGGTGACAAAGCAAAAAACTGAAAACCCTCTCAAGAAGGTTTGTTCTCTTATCTCAAAAGTCCCAGGAGAGCAGAAGTATGCAGCTGAAATTAAAATGATCAAACTAGAAAAGCATAATTATCTGTCTTAATTGACCCCTTGTATTGCTGATCAGTCTGCAGAATCATAATATATTTCCCTCCTAAGGGAATATGACAATGGAAAGAATCGAAAGTTCTCATGCCAGAACCTGCCCAAGTTGACTAGAAGAACAGCTGCAGTTTAGTGAACATATTTTTCAAACAGAGAAACATCAAAGGTATTTTTTCCAAAGGTGCATATTCTTCAGTTCCTTTGGTGAGGTATGCAGTTGCAAACCCCATTTGGCCTGTGTGAGAGGTATGTTCTTCCTGTTAGCACAACAATATACAGTTCATGCTGTGCAGTTCATGCCACTTTTCCTTTGAAAATAATAATAATAAAAACTTTTCAAGCGTAGTGAACCTGGAGAGGTGCACACAGACACGTCCCTGTGGAAAGTCGCCTGTAAACATTAAAAAGGGCTGACAAACCTGAAAAGCTGATGGCTCATCTGTGAGCTTGTGCACCAGTAGGATGTTTTGAACTAAAACAGGAATAATCTGCTGAATATCTTAATTAATTAATTAATGATGTCCCACTAATAATATTCACAAAATTATCAGGAAGCTAAGTTTGGGCTTCACAGACATAAACAGTGTTCCTATTAAATTTAAGGCAAAGTTGCATGACAGCTTTGTGATCCAATTAACTGGCAAAGGGAGCAATTGACCCGTGAGCTTAGCATTTTGATGAACAGCTAGTCAGAGGGATTTGTCATGCATACTGGATCCTCTGAGAGCAGGTGAAGCCTGAGCTCCTTAAAGTGGCAGTTGATCCTTCACCTTTCAGCTGACCTCACGCTCATCTAATGATCTGATGTTGGAGGCTTTGGGCCCATCATCAATTCAGTTGAACGGCACAATGGGAGAAGACAAGTGCTTGACAGAGGAGTCTTTTCAATCTCCTTACAAGAATGGGTGTAATGGCTTCCCATCATTACTTGGCTTAATGAGGGAAGGCCTGTAAGCTGGAGGCGTGCTGGAAGAGAACTTAAGAGGTTTTAGCAGATGTGCATCCCTCCCTAGGGACACAGCTAGCAAGAGGGCTAATCAGGCTTCATTGTGAGATACCCTGGTGCTGCCCCCTGGGAAAGACAGCTGAGGTGATGATACACTGGGCAACGTCACCGAGCGACGAACAGACAGGTGACACGAAGGGCAACTCATCTGGATCTGGATGATAGAAAAACGTTAGAAAAACGCTGCCGATTAAAGTTTATCAGATAGAAGTCTGCTGCCCGGTATTAATGGGAAAGGGCCCAAGCAGCATTGGTCAGCAACGTTGCTCAAAATGTTCCCCTGTGTTTTGTCACCCTAAGAGAATAGCTGTTAAAGCATCTCTCTGTGAGACCCTTGGAAACCATACTGAAGAGGGCTGTCCTCTCAGAAATAAAGGTCATCCTGAATTGAGAGCCTCATTTGTTTCAGAATCAGAATCAGGAAACTTTATTAATCCCAAAGGATTGACCTCCAGCTTGTAAGCAGTTGGCCCAGTCGCTCCAAGGACACTTCAGAAGGGGGCAGGCTTTGTCCTGAGTCAAAGGTGTACAGTCACAAACACCGGATGGAAAATGGGCTTCTTGCAGGCTAGTTGCTGGCTACAATTCATCTAGTGTTACATGCTGAAATGGTGTTACGAATGAGCGGCAGAATCCGAGAACCTCAGCTGGGGTAAAATGGCTGTGATCATTGGTCAAAAACACCCAATGTGAATAATATTCCCAGAAATCGATGGCAGGGTGTAAGCAGCTGCTGTGAAGGTAATGGTTCAGACTTACACCTGTCCTGTCAACTCAACAGCTTGGCATCCCTTTCTGAAAATGAACAGAGCATTTTCCCCCTTTTTTTTCCAAAAGACAAATCTAACAGTGTTAAATGATAAGATTTGTGCTACCAGAGAGGCTGAATTTTTCCATAGTTCCTTTTTCCAGTTGAAGTTTCAGCCCCATATGGTTCTTGTGTTGATTAGGTTGATTAGGTTGAAGTACCCAGCTGGGAAGCTTCTGTTCTCTTCCCACCTTAATGAAACATCTGCATGTATGTCATCTAAATGAAGTTTCACAGTTTTACTCTCCTCATATGTAACGCAGCACAATGATCTTGCTTTTTCCGAATGTTCAATAGGCTGATCGTACCTGAAAGCTGAAATTTCACACCTCTCAAATTTCAGAACACTATGGTGATATATTTCATTAACAGTTGTCCTTACGTAATAACTCCATCAGTATGAATTATACTGATGGAGTTATTACGCAATACAAGAAACGCGTAGCTGAGGGTGAAACGGTGGCATTACATTTTCTGCTGGGCTCAATCGCAGAAGCTTCCTTGGAAAGGTGAGCATGTTGATTTGTCCTGTTTGAGGCTGAATACCTCAAAACGTTTGCTGTGACATATTCGTCTTTTGGCTGATTTATTGGTAGGGCCACATCTTTCTTTGTATTGACATTTTGTCTTTTGTTCCAATTGTCGTTATGCTCATGTTCCTGCTTTTCATTAGTGATTTAGCAACATTGTGATCCATTTTACTGGGACACACAAACACAGCGTGTTCCCCTTGTCTTACATTTGTTATTGAATGTAGAATAATTTAGCCCTTTATTATGAATCCATGTTCAAAACCGTGGGATTTTAGACATTGCAATCACTCTCAAAGCCCATTCACCCCCATGTCACCCTCTTTGAACATAGAAAAGTTGAAAGACTATTTAATCAGTTTCAGTTTCAAGATCCATGTTGACACCTGGACTGAAGGTGTGATCTTTTTCAATTGGATTGTGTCTTGAATAATCCATTTTGGAAATGTTGTTAAATACTGGTAGTATATGGATGATTTTCCTCTTTGGTACCTTCGCCTCATTATTAGTAGAAGCTAAATGGATATACGTTGGTGTGTTATGTAACCTGACTGCTGGGATTACTGTTATATAACAGCTTTGGTAAGACATATGAGGCGGATGATGCCGGAAAGATAATCGCTGAGAGTGCAGGTGGGTAGAGACGCAGTGCCCAGCAGAGGGAGCTGCTGCCAACCCTGTGACCCCCCCCCCCCCCCCAGGAAAGATGTGGAGGCGGCGTGGCGTGACGCAGCCGTCCCGGAGCGACGGGCGGCCGTGTCCCCCGCAGATGGAGCAGTGGCAGCCTTGTCCCGCCCGGCCATGCTTCCGGTGGCAGTACAGCTCGTGGTCTCCCTGCAGGGTGGAGGTATAATTCACACATCACAGGAAGATCCTCTTGGTCAGACTTACACAAGTGGGTTTAATCACATGTTAATTAGGCAGTGAAGACTTATTCTCTTGATTAAGGTACCCCAAAGGCTCAACGTTTGTGGTACATTTTTGAATTTTTAGCCTATTAAATGTTTCGCATTTATATTTGTTAATCTAATTATTTTCTTCTTGTAATGTCTAATGTTTTTGCAGAAATTGTGAAGACTAGTAATTATAAGAATGCAATAACCCAGAAAATCCCACTTTTGTAGGATGCGGACTGTGGGGAGGGCCTCCGTATCCGCAATGCGTCCTGCATGGTGTCGGACGGCCTGGGGGGCGAGGAGGAGAGCGTGGTGGAGGAGGAGCTCTGCGCCGACCTGGAGCCGTCTGCAGACGGAGACGAGCGCGTCGCCCTGACGGAGGCCTGCACACTGCCCTGCCCGGGTATGTAGCCTGGGCAAAGCCGCTGAGCCAATCAGAGGAGGAAATGACAATACCTTTTCAAAGGCTAGTGTTAAGGCACGAAGTGGTAAATTTAAGCATCAAACTTTCATTTGCAGGACGGCTTTTTGTTATACCCTCTAGGCAGGTACAGAACCTTAACCCCAAATGTCCATCCATCCTCTATCCGTCTTACAACTGCCTACGCAGCACAGGGTCACAGGGGAGCCTGGAGCCTATTCCGGGCAGTATGGGACACAAGGCAGGGGTACACACTGGGCAGGGTGCCGGGCAGTATGGGACACAAGGCAGGGGTACACACTGGGAGGGGGCCGGGCAGTATGGGACACAAGGCAGGGGTACACACTGGACAGGGTGCCGGTCAATCGCAGTGCACATATACACATAATCAGAGACAAAATTACACACTGTGGGCAATATAAATATCCCAGTTCATATATGTAATTATCTATCCATCTATTCAACTTCCAACTGCTTATTTTGAGTAGGGCTGCATGGGGCCCTGGAAACAATCCCAGGAAGCATAGAGCACAAGGCAGGAGACAAGCAGCTTATAAAATGAATGGATAAGTACTAATACTGTGTGAAATCTTCTAAACTTCATTACATCGCATCATAAGGAAAATGAGTAACTGACTCTTGGGATGGTCAGTAATTTCTGGATGGTTTTGAACTGTGGTTCTACGTTCTGCTCCGTGCGACAGGGCAGGGGTTCTGCAGAGGTGAGCGCAGGCAGGACGTCATTTGCCCAGCAGGCCTGTGTGTGTGCCGGAGGTGTGGCCTGGTGAGGGGGTCACCTCCCCTTGCCCCTCTCTGTGCCACATTTTGATTTGACTCTTATTCTATAAACGCCGTTCGTGGGTCTTTGGAACCATCAGACTGTCGCAGTTAAGGTTCTGCATCTGTATCCCCCGGAGATATAGGGTTCTGTGCCAAATGAAAGACAAAGCCACGCCTACAGGAGGAGGTGCTTGTAGGTGGGAGTGGCGGGTCCTGGTTCTGACATCATCACCACACCTCCATGTACGCTCACCGCACCACCCTGAAACCTCCCCCCCTCGCTGTGCTCTGAGCCCAGCCTGTCCCCCTGGATGCTTTCAGTAACACAGTGGCCCAGTTGACACGTTAACCTGAAGACCAGCTGCGGATCCACCAGCCTGGTTCACACACACACACACACACACACACACGCACACACACACACACACACACACACTGCTATAATCTTCTAAAGCTTCACAGGTCAGTCGTGCATGCACACAATCTGGCTGGGTTTTAAACACTTCAGTAATTTTCCTAAAATATTGCTGTTACTCAACATTCAACTGGCAAAACAAACCCTTTCAAGCTTTGGTGTTCTCATATTAATGTGTACCACGGTTGCCTCATGCCCCCAGTGCTGGGGGGTAATCCCACCCCTGCTCTCTGTGCATGGAGCTTGCTTGGCCTCCCCCATGTGGTGCAGGTTAAATCCAGGAACTCTGGTCTCCTCCTGCAGTTCCATAAACATTCACCTCTGAATTGCCTGACATTTCACCCAGGGTTTGCCCTGCCTGGGATGGGCTCCAGGCTCCCCCTGACCAGGAGAAGCCATTGGAAGATGAATGGATTCTCATATTTACTCCACCTGTACATGTAAATGTTGTTAGAGGCCTCTTGATACTATCAGTCCAATAAATTCTACTTGGTATGAATGTACAGTCTTGCATAAAATGACTCTTCGCAATGTATCTCATGTCAGCTTTGTGAAATTGTTAAAACTCTTAATTTGAGTTTTTTTTTGTCACTGGGGCATACAGCTGTTACATTAAAATACATTAAGCAGCAGAAGTGTTTAGAAGATGAGTGGATGGATAGATAGATGGACAGAGAGGCGGATGGATGGATAGACAGGTCAAAGGCATGCCTCTCAGCTGAAAATGAGTCCCCTTCTAGACTGTAGACTAAGTAGTTTCCCTGCTAGTCTTCTGAGGATGAGCAAAAATACATTAGCCGTTACTAATCGAACAAGCTACAGACCCCAGAAAGCTCTGCATTAGCTATGCCTGAGAGGCTACAGTTCAAGAAGTACGTTCCGAACTGCCATCTGTAACTTGAAATGTTCGTAAGTTGTTATTCAACATCATTTTAGGCGTATACGCAAGTACAGAGAACTAGGATGCTGGGAGTACGCACGTCACGCTGCTGCGCGCTGGGAGTAGTGGCCAGAAGTCATACTGGGCGGGATTGGCTCGCGGAAAAAAAATTGATGTTGCGGACAGGAAACGGGAGCCCAACAAACACAATTTGGACTTACAGCCCTCTTCATTCGTAGGTCTGAAAGTTCGTAAGCTGAAAGTTCGTAAGTAGAGGAGGGTCTGAGGAGCGGCATGCCCTGTTCAGATCACACTAATTCTTCAAAACTGATATAATTTCATCTGCCATTAGTGATCTGGCTGAGTTGCAGAGTTATGTCTGGTCTTAGATATGCCTTGTATTTCATTAAGGGTTGGAATTAAGGGAGTTCTGGAGGGGATACAGACATTACCCAAAATAATCCAAATTGGATTGGACATATCCTTTAGAAATCCAAGGGGATAAAATCCTGCAGGAATTAAATTTATATAGTCAGATCCAGTGGCAGCTGGTGGTCTTTCAAATAGGGTCTTTCAAATGAACTTTACTAACATACTAACAAACCTTACTAACGACATAAACTCAAGAACACTATAGGATATGTACAAATAAAAATCAAAAAATGAAAAGACTTCACTTATACATATGGGATTGACCTTGAAATGCTATGATGTCGAAATATGATTTCAAAATGCTGTCAGTCAAAAAGAGGTGTAGCCCCTCTGACAGCTCCTCCAATCATCATGCAGCAGCTCTTCTACTTTGAGTCGCTTTAAAACTTCTTTCCTCCTCCAGGGGACTGCTACTTAACGGAGTGGAGCGCTTGGAGCCCCTGTCAGAGCAACTGCATTAAAGGGCTGGAGCAGGGCTTCGGCTCGGCCCAGGTGCGGTCCCAGTCCGTCATGGCCCAGGAGCCTGAGAACCTGCTGCAGTGTCCCGAACAGGTGTGGGAGTCCCGGCCGTGTGCAGGTGAGCATCGTGTGGAGGTTCCGTCCGTGCACAGGTGAGCATCGTGTGGAGGTTCCGGCCAGGCGCAGGTGAGCATCGTGTGGAGGTTCCAGCCGTGCGCAGGTGAGCATCGTGTGGAGGTTCCGGCCGTGCGCAGGTGAGCATCGTGTGGAGGTTCCGGCCGTGCACATGTGAGCATCGTGTGGAGGTTCCAGCCGTGTGCAGGTGAGCATCGTGTGGAGGTTCCGGCCGGGTGCAGGTGAGCATCGTGTGGAGGTTCCGGCCTTGCACAGGTGAGCATCGTGTGGAGGTTCCGGCCGTGCGCAGGTGAGCATCGTGTGGAGGTTCTGGCCGTGCGCAGGTGAACATCGTGTGAGGGTTCCGGCCGTGTGCAGGTGAGCATCGTGTGAGGGTTCCGGCCGTGTGCAGGTGAGCATCGTGTGGAGGTTCCGGCCGTGTGCAGGTGAGCATCATGTGGGAGTCCCGGCCGTGCGCAGGTGAGTGTCGTGTGAGGGTTCCGGCCATGCGCTGGTGAGCGTCATGTTAATGTGAGGGATCGGTGCTCCAACCTAAATCAGAACTTACCATTTGGCTTAGTTACAGGATCCAAACACAGATAAAGTGATTTATGCAACTGTGCTGTCTGCTAATCCCAAAACCGCCCATAACAGAGACCGTCGCCTTAGCTACTACTTAACAGTGCAGCGTGGTTAGGGGTGACCTACTTTCTTCCCACCACACTGTAGGCTTGTGTTGTGTGAGAGACTGCTGACTGACTGCGACTGCACATCATTCGCAGCACGCAATGAAAGGAGGAAAAGTGTTTGTGAAAGCAAGCTGAAAGCATTAAGGTTTTCCATCCATTAATTTTCTGTAACTGCTTTTCCTATTCTGGAGGGTACAGGCACAAGGCAGGGAACAGCTCAGGATGGAGCGCCAACCCTTCACAGGGCACAGGGCACTCTCACACACCATTACTCATTCACTCACAGTCACACACACACAATATGGTAACTCCAATTACCCTCAGCATGTTTTCTGGACTGTGGGGAAGCTGGAGTCCCCAGCAGAAACCCCACAACAACACAGGGAGAACATACAAACTCCACACACGGAGCCGTGACTGGAACCGAGGTCCCAGCAGGGTGAGGCAACAGTGGTAACCACTGTCCCACCCGGCATTAAGGTTTTACTTGACAAAAACAGGCCATTTTGGTTGCTCTTCAGTCCTGTCTGCTAATTTACACTGAATCAGGGATGACAGTGTAAGAGGTTTAATTGCTGAGAAAATGGTGGCTTTCCTGCAGAAGAACAGGTTGAACTCTTGAAAGTTTTTTTAACCCTGAAATAATGGCCAACAGTTCATCAGCCTCGGGCCAAAAATCGTCCAAAATCCCAGCCTCGAGTGGGACCTGTGGTTTGGGCTCCTTCCCTGCGGGTCTGGACTCGAGATATTAGGACCACCCTCCCACACCTGCTTTCCCTGCTCACTGTCTGTGTGGCCCTTTGGCTGGTCACACTGCTCTCAGTCTGTACTCCAAACTCTCCAAAGCATAGACACTCTCAGCAGTGCCCTTGTGCTCCTCTCTGTCCTCCGCACAGATGGACTGTGTTACAAATTTGAGTGGATGACCGGAAAGTGGACGGGTTCCTCTCGACTCGTGTGGTGCCAGCGTTCCGATGGATTAAACGTGACGGGTACATCCCTCCTTCTCATGTGTGGCTAACCCCATTTCCAGCTTTACATTGTGCTCCTATTGTTGTATTACCCTGTACAGGCCTTTATTAAAACTCAGTATGCAATCTGCTCTTTGATCGGGTTTTTACCCAAAATACTACAAAATTCACACTTCGACATCAATCTGAGCTGGACATTTTTAATTAAATGATCTGACTTGTGTTGAAGGAGGGTGTCCAATCAGCAGCCAGCCAGCGTCTGAGAGGTCATGTGACCCACCATGTGACAAGCCACAGACGTACTGCACTGAGGTAAGATGTGTGCAGATGTACTGTTTCCTGTCTCTGTGGAGCCATGTGTGTTGTGTGATTAATATAATGGGAGGTGGAGTAACGCTGAGTATAACAAACATGTTTCATTAAAGACTGAAATCGTCAGGGACACAAAATCATAAGGGTTCTAGGAAATGTTTTATTGCATCTGTTTAAGAAGAACACCTGTAAGACAGCATCCTGAGCCTGAGCGCACGTCAAACCGTGAGTGTAAATTCCACTTGACTTCCCTGGTAACATTTTCATATTCTGGACGTATCAGTCCCAGCTGCCCTGATATGACTCTGCCGTCAGAATGAAACAATCGAAATAGCATAACATGTCAGTCTAAATTCAGCTAGAATGACCTGATGCCCTCAGTAAAATCAGCCCGGAGTGTTATGTTCTCACTCATTTTCCTTCTGTGTGTGAGTGTGTGTGTGTGTGTGTGTGAGTGTGTGTGTGTGTGTGTGTGTGTGTGTGTGTGTGTGTGTGTGTGTGTGTGCGTGCATGAAGGAGAATAGGATTAGCATTTCTACTTTGACCCTTATATAACATATTTTTAAGTCATTAATAGAATTATTGACCACAAACAGGTAACTACCGTTTATAAACCTGGAATTGTAATAAAGTAATCAATAAGGAGCAGAAATTGTTCATAATCTTTATGCACAGGCAGTGCCGTGTCAATAATTAGTTTTGTTGCGGAGTCTAGTTTTCAAACTTCCAGATGTTTTTGAGTGAAGCCCTTCTGTAATTGCAATAGGTTGAGCTGACAGATTCATAACGGGAGGTCACTCTCCATCACAGGGGACGCTAAAACGTACCGGAGTTAATATTGCAGTGTGTCCTGTACACCACTGTGTGAGGGACACTATTAAGAAGGGATGTTGAGCCCATGAGAGGCAGAGAATATTTCGAGTCGTGTTATTTTAATCCCCTGCAATATGGACAAGTTTATTTCTTTTTCCTTAGGCTAAATATCCATTTGTCTTGTTACAGCCTGTCATTGGTTAATGACACTGTCAATCATGAACTTTCAGGTTCTTGCATAGGTGGATGTGCCTGCCTCTTCCTACACTAAGGGTTCTAAGAGGTTATAAGAGTTTGTCAGAGACACAGCCAGGTAAATGCACGCGAAAATCCACGTGCACCAGCCCTCCCCCCACGGCCTCAGCGGGGGGTCTCACACAGCCAGCACAGTGCCCCCCCTTGGCTGCCTACATACCAAACCTATGTCAGCCCCGCTGGCCACCAGTGAGGAGGCCTTTGACCTCTGTAAAATGAAGGGCAGTATAACTGGCTACAAAGCACTACCACAGCCTCGGAGAGAAGATCCAAAAGTATGAGTGCACTGTCTGGTGCGAGGTCTTCCAACAGCTGTCACGCTTGCAGAACACCTGGGAATTTGCATCCGTGACAGAGCTTACAAGTGTCAGACCTGTAGCAAGCTGTTCGTCTTGCTTGTCCATCTCCAGATGCACTCCCAGGTTCATGTCTCTGAACACACTCTCAGCTCATTTAAGCAAAGACCTGAAAGACAGGAAACTGAGGAGTGTCTGGCAGTAATGGCGGGTTTGTGGTGTTGGCCTCACTGTTCTGACTGGACTGCCTGCACGGATGCTGCCTGAGACCTCAGTCCTCTCGTTAGACGATACGATAGGCACAGCAGATACCGTCACTGCAGACTGGTCTCCTAACTCCCTTCCCCCATCTCCAGGCAGGCCTGTGCGCTTGTGAGGAGGGCTACACAGAGGTCATGAGGTCCGATGGCGTTCTGGACCAGTGCATGCTCATCCCTGTGTTGGAGGTCGAGAAAGCTGATGTCAAGACTAGCTGGGCGACACACCCCACCCAGGCCACTGCTGGACACCCAGGGAGTTTTGACCACCACTGGTTCTTGCAGCCTTTTGGACCAGGTGAGTCATTCATGGTGAAGCTGTAACGTTGTATCTGGTCAAGCATAGTACTAACACACTGGGCTACCAAAACATTACGGACTCCTTCCCAATATTGTGCTTCATCCCAGTTTTGCCTCAGCTGATTAGGGCATGGACTCCATAAGGTATTGAAAGCCCTCCATGAGGATACAAGGCTTCTCACAGTTGTGTTGAGTTGGCTGGATATGTTTTGGATGCTGGACCATTCCAGATACACACAGGACACGCTAAACTTGAGAACCACAGGAGGGATGTGGCTCCTGAACACACTCAGTCTGGAGAGCCTGATACTTATTATTACACCCGATTCACAGTTCATTTTCTCGCCTATTTTCCCCTCGTGTGCGCAATGCACATCTTGAGCCCTCAAAGTCCTTTGTGAATTTGCCTCTAAGCGGATTTCACCAATCGATCATGCCCTTCACCGGAGCAGCTCTGTCATCTTCACCTGCAGTAGGCGTCCCTAATGTTTTGCACACTCGGTGAAGTTCGTAAATAAACAGTAGACTCTGACTCACTTCCTCGCCCCCGCCCCACTCCCCCCGCCCGGCAGATGGGCTCTTGAAGACATGGGTGTATGCAGCAGCAGCGGGGGCCCTGGTGCTGCTCATTTTTATAGCCTCTATGATCTATGTCGCCTGGTAAGTTCTTCCTTTCCGTCGGCTCCGTGGTCACACCCATCCCATCTGGGACATTCCGCTGCATTTCCATTCCCGAGTTTCTTCATTTTATTCGGAATTTACCCTCTCCGCCGCCACTCTTCCCCTTCCAACCCCGCACATTTTTTTTGTTTCCACCTGACCTGCGGCCAGCAGCGGTTACTATGCAAGCCGCCGCTCAGCCTCAGCCCCGGACCCCAGCTCGGTGTGGGGGGGCCAGAGCATCCACGAGTTGACCTTCATGTGCCCAGATCGCCAGGAGCCCAGCGAGCCTGTCAGTTACAGGGTGTGGCCTAGCTACAGGTGCTGACCCTGTGACTCCCCCCCCCTCCCCCATGTCGCATACCCCGTTTGGCCAGCTACACGGAGTTGCTGGTGCAGGTGAGCAGGAAGTCCCACCCACCTTCCCTTTCAGAGCTGTGGTCTGCTTCTCTGGGTACCTCCACTCCCAGCTGGTGGTCAGACTGCAGCCCCTGTCTGTTTTAGCCATATAGCCATGTCAGTGGTACCTTTCACCAATTGTGAAAAAAACAATTATGAAAGTCATTTATAACATTAAATGACACAGACCTCATATAAACCCATAGACACTTTTTAAACAGTGGGCAATTAACTGGTATCATTAATTAATTTCTGTATAATCAGTGTTCTGAAGATCTGATTGAGATCTGGAGACTTGTCCAACAGGGAATATTCTTTGGTGCTACACTGACATCTAGTGGCCAGATAGAGGCATTACCGGTTGTATCATTTTCTGAGTCTCCGTTCTCTTCAATTCCATCTCATTTTTAAGAAAATGTGTATTTGTAATATTTGAGACTTGAGTGTATTGCAATCTGTCACATTTTATGTGTGTGTTCATCATCATTAAAATGAAAGCGATTCATGTATGAATAAATGAATTTGGGTGGTATTGTTTAAATTCTGTCTGCTTCGGTGCCTGAGTATTAAGGACAGCAGCTGCTTAAAACGCTGTATTTTTTTTGGACTACGAGATAAACCCCAGTCACATCAGTGACCTTGGCCCTTAATGGATATTCTCATTATTGCCAGATTTGTAGAACTATGTCAAAAATGCTTGTGTGAAAGACTTGGCTGGTGGTTTTCAAGTTCATTTCTTGGCTACTGAGCAGATCAATATAGAAGCACCCTAAAGCAACATAAGAGTTGGAATAAAAATTAAATTAAATTATACAAAAGTGTGGATGTCCATCCATGATCATTTCCATGTTTTTCACATAACCAAACCTGAATGCTGTATGTGTAATGCAAACATAAAACATACGACTCCATCGCCATGAAAGTTATGTGTTAGAATAAAACACAAACTCACTTAAATTACAGATAATTTATATCTATCTATCTATCTATCTATCTATCTATCTATCTATCTATCTATCTATCTATCTATCTATCTATCTATTTCATACACGACCGGCATTTTGCCTCCTTAGTGGGTGTCAATCAAACATTTTGTTATGAACTTATGAAATAAGTTATGAAATAACACAAAATACTTTTCTCTTTGTTGGTTCCTCCAATTTCCCAATTAATGCCAAACTTTCAAAATAGTTGAAGTCTTAAAAGAAAGATGGAAAGGGACAATTTTTCAGGTCCCCACAAAGATCTGTGAAAGCAATCAAAAGATGAAAAATACCAAAAGTCTCATATTTTATTTGGTTACTTGTGGTTAAGGTTAGGGCTGGGTAGGGGTTAAGGTAATCATGTTGGGATAAGAGTTTTCCCCATAGAAATGAATGGAGAGTCCCCACAAAGACATAATTACAAATCTGTGTGTGTGTGTGTGTGTGTGTGTGTGTGTGTGTGTGTACATAAATGCATATAATTATAATCTACAAACGGCATACGTCCATAGAGTACAAAGGTTCTGAATGTTTTACTTGTTTTCAAAAATGTTCTACAGAAATGTCTTATAAAATATAAATCCCATTCTTAAAATAACGACTGAAGTCATTTTCAGTGTCTGTTTCCTTTCTGACACAAATTTGAAAACAGCCATTTTTATTCAGGCATGGGCGCCGTACTAGACCTGATCAATTCTTTATTGTTCCCAGCAAAAAGCCAAAGAAATCCCAGAAAAGACAAAACAACAGACTGAAACCGCTGACTCTGGCCTACGACGGCGATGCTGACATGTAGGAGGGCAGTTGGAGGTGAACCTCATCCTCGTTCTGTTACCACCTACTATGGCAGATTCACTTTTAAAACTGGGAAGGCAAACATAATGCTCATTTTGGGAAAGTGATATCAAAGGAGAATTAGAAGTAGAAGAGAATGACTCAGTCCTTCACTCCTTGTTTGTTTGCTTGTTTATTTAAAATAATACTTATAAGACACAGAGACTAAAGCAAATCTTGCCTTTGCATTTCTCTGCTTTCCATTTAAATATTTCCGTGAGAGTAGCCGCTGCTGGTGGCAATGTGTGGCACCACACCGCTGATGGATGAGGAGGGACATTTTTTCCATGTAAACTATTCCTGCATGGGGAGGGGGAGGGGGGGCTCAGTGGTTGCTGGAATCTTTGATGTTTCTCGATTTAAAATGCAGAATTTACACATTCAACGCTAGCTCTTCTCTATTTCGTGCACAATAATGCACTATATTAGTGCAGCAAGATATGCAGTCCTATTCAGTAGATATTAAAAATGCACATTATTCCTACCGTTGTCACTTCAGTTTAGTACATTAATGGAAAATGACAGTTCAGTTGTGCAAAATGGTGGGATGGGAAGAAATGTAAAAATGTGTACATAACTATATATATATATACATATATGTATATATTCATTTTTGTTATTGTAACATTTTTTAAGTTATTTTTTTGGAACTAGAAGTCTCTTTTTTTCAGCCCAAATTACTTTGTGTGGTTTCAGCACTGTATGCTTGTTCTGTTATATTGAGGGCTCTGTGCATTTGTTTATTGCTTGTTTGTCTGTTTTGTTTTTGACAGCTGGGTTTTGTAATTCCACATTTAGGTGGAGTCTTTTCCAGGTGATCCCAAACTAATTTCAAGGTTTCGTCTTGTGCCAGTATCTTCTTCAACAGCCAATAGCACCATTGTTGATGTGTTTTCTTTTGACAGAACGTTCAAAACAGATGTCACACAAGTTAAGGCCCCAGGCCAAATTTACATGTAAGCTTAAAAGCCTCTCACAGTATTTAAGAGTGTAAGACTGTAAGACATTACAAAAGATGTGTGACTTTAACTTGGCTGTGATGAGTGTAGTTCTACCTGAAACCATATAATATGGACAGTGACCTGACTCTGTCCTCATGTGAAACGATTCAACCAAAATAAGATTTTATATGTATTTAGTTCCACTGAATGATGTAAATAAAATTGAATAAAATTACAAATGGATAAAATGTTAAACCATTTGATAGCATGACTGTCTTAGGTAATTTTCAGTTTTAAGTATTATCTTTTCAAATATTTATATAACTGTATTTACCAACTCAAACATATACTAAAAAAGATAATTTGCATAAATAAAAACAAGTTCTCAGGATTAAAGCTTATACACAGAAAAATCTTCTTCTGAGTTGGTTTCATGACACATGCATTATTTATATACTTTACATAAGTTGAAAAGCACTGTTTTGTTTGCTTACCACACAAGCAGATATGCTGTTTAATTACAGAAAGGTTGGGTCTTAACCCAAGCTCACACACTGTCCTGGCTTATGGATCCATGGCACTTCTGGTGGGTCAGCTCCTGTAGGACGTTGGTTCTGCACAGATTCTGTCCGAGCCTATCTGCTGATGGTGAACATCCCAGGCTGGCTAAAATGCTAAAATGCATGATTCTGCCATTTTCCTCAAAGTCAAAGCTACTCAGCATTTTAGAAGTACAAGGAGTTTGGATCTAAAAAAACATTTTTAGTTAGCTGTTTTTTTTTTGTTTGTTTTTCAGTGATGTGAATTTGCAAGCAGTATTTTTAACTATATAAATATTTGTTTTCTGTTACGCAGAACCCTTGAGCTTGTTGGCTTGATGTTACTGATTTCCATGCTGATGACTCATAATACATGTGAAAACAAGGAGGTGTGTTGAGTGTTGTTTACATATGTATTTGCCCGAATAAATTAAATGAAGACAATGGTTTGATGCTCGTGCTGAGTGCTTTCCTGAATCACAGAATACTATGGTTATGTGTTTTACATAATGAACTCAGCCAAGTAAACCTTCAATATCCACAGAAGGTTGTAATTTTTGTATCTGAAACTGTATGACAGCCACTGGAGATGATTTATGATGATAAATCCACAGATTTTCAATATGAAATGCCACTTAAAGACAATCAAACTTTCAACTGATTTTGGTCCTACTGTCCTCATACTATAGCAACTTCCGACTTTGGCATCCACAAACCATGACTTGATTGTCCATAAGATATTGTCAGTATTTTTCTGCATCTCTCTATGCATACAAATACTTCAAGCATTTGTTAACCAAAGTAAAAATCCTTGAACAGAATGCTGAATTTGAATAGGATGTACATTTAGTGTTAGTAGTACTTGATCGCAGGTAAGAACATGCTCTTATTATTTATGATTAAATTTATCATTCTTAATGTATTTTTCCCAATATGGGTTCAAGACATAAATCCTCTTGCTGCCTATCCCAGACAGGATAGCTGTAGGGGGCCTGGAGCCTATCTCCGGAAACAATGGGGCAAGATAGTGGAACTCCCCCAGATAGGATGCCAAGCCATCATATCCACATTAAGTGACCCAAGACTAGTGATTTGAACCCTCAATACTGGAAGAATGAAGCAACAATGTTTCCCAACAAGCCACCATCAGTACTACGTGTCACGTGTAATATGACTGCAATGCCTGCTTTGGACGCTAGATGTCAGGATAGAGTAACAAACGGTATTATTTTTTAAAGTCATTTGTCATAACCATTCTCCAAGGTGTCAAAAAATAGTGTATATATATGAATAGTAACTCGTAAATAGGTCATTAAAAATTGGATTGCAAAAAGCGGAATTTAGAGAATGATATATTTTAGGAAAAATAATTCAGAAGTCGGTGTCTTCCAGAGGGAGTCCTTGGCAGAATATCGAGTCTGAGTGACAGGGGCCCTAAAAACTTTGGAATATAATTGGATTGGTTTCAGTTGGGGGCCCAAAATGATAAGTTTTCAGGGAGCCCAAAATCTGTAGCTGCACCCTTGTTGTTCCATCTATCTTTCAACCACTTACCCTAAGCAGTGTCGCAGAGGGCCTCGAACCGGCAGCACAGAACACAAAGAAGCAGAGGTATGCCCTGTATGGGATGCCGGGACATGAAAGAACACGTGCATGCACACCCCACAGGCAATGAGATGCCAATTACCAACTGCATAGCTTTTGACTGCAAGAAGAAATCCGTTTGACAGCATGTAAAATACAGTACACTCACACACAGAATAGAGATGGGATTTTCAGTGTGAGGTGACAGTGCAACTCACTGAGCCACTGTGTCAGAGTTGCGGCATTCTCTGTACACTGTTGACACCGTAGAACATGAACAGCTGAGGAAGACGATGAGAGATGGCACCAAGTATTACACTACATTCAAGATGGCTTTTACCAGGCATCTTAGCTGTTCTAATGTTACACCGAATAGTAACTGAACCTCTTGACCCTGCCTGAGTGTATGTATTCAGTTGCAGCCACATGCTGCATTTTTCAAAGGCATTAACAAGCAGACGTGTCTAGCAATGAGGGAGCTTTCTTCTGCTTAGGGTCAGAGTACAAGGTCAACATTTATCCAGCAGCCCTGCAGTAGTGTTCAGGGTCGAATGTCTTGCTTGAAGACCCAACGGCCCCAGCCATGACATTCAAACTTCCAATCACAGTAGTTCTATAGCCTGCAGAGACACAATGGCCACTAAGAGTAAATTCATACATTTGAAAATATTGATATGGAGTGGTGCATAAAAATAAAAAATAGCATCATCTTGTGCATTTATTAAAGTATATGTCTATGCAGCCCATGACCCATGACCCATGACCCTGACCAGGTTTAAAGTACAAATACAGGTCAGTGATAAATAAAGGTTGGCAAGATGAGCACAATTTTCAATTAACCAATAGGATGTGACATTTCATGTGCTGAATTAGTATCATCCCTCTTTTGATCCTGGTTCATCCCTCCTTCCCTCCCTTCTCCCTCTCTCTCTGCCACTGTTGGAATGCATTGCCAGTGTGTTCACACTGTGCGTTAAATTTGACAAGTTATCCGACTAAGCAAGAAATCCTCCTTTTTCAACAATGAATGTCATGACCCTCCTGTTTTCCTCACTCGTGTGGCCCTAATGAGCCACACGTGGCGCTCGTTTGTCTTGCCTCTCGTTCCTGCCCTCGTGTTAACCACTCTCAGCTGCCTCTTGTCTGCTCCCTCGTTAGTCATGTGTATAAGTGCCTCCCAGTCCTGTGTTCCCCAGACCTGTCATTAACGTCCTCGCCGGGTGTTACTCATATGTTTTCTTCATCGCCCCTGGTTTCCCCCTCATTCTGGTTGTTTTCTGTTTATAATTCAGCTAATAATTACAAAGCAGTGGTTAAGATAAGTGAAAACGAATTTTGGTGAATGTCGCGGTTTAAGTCTCAAACTACAAATAACGGGTGGGTTAGTGGGAGACTTAAGATGTGTTTTTATCCAAAATAGAAATAATTATATTTGCATAATGGCACAGTGATGGTAAAGGGATTGGTGATGATACAATTTTTTTGACCAGAGAAGGGATGAGAATTTTCTCTGGTATCAGCAGAACAGAATTAATGATTAAGAACAGGTCAGATTTAAATGCAGCATACTAAAAATCAGTTTTAACAATGCTGCTGGCCTAGAATTTATGCTGGTCTTTATCATCAGGTGACAACAAATCCAAAATTAACATTGCTTTTTTTTGTTTTTGAATGCAAATCTGTGGTACTTCCTGCTGTGTATGGTCTTTGTTTTTGTATTTACAAGAACGTACTGTGCCCACGGATGAAATCAGTTTAGCTCTAAACAATGTCAGTTTCTTCCACTGGAACTCGAGCGTATCAGTTCTTTTGAGTTTAGCCTAATAAACACAGACATTTGAATTTTTTGAGAAATGTTGTCCTGCCTTGTTTTTCTGTAGCCCCTGTAGAAACAGCATGGATGTCCTACAGATTCTCCCACATGGGACTCCCCGGTCATGCCTTTGCCACAGTCTCTAAGGCAGTGTCTGGACTCCCAGTGCTCCCAGACCTGTCTTATGTTCCCATCTAATCTGCCCATTGCTGTAAGTGCACACAGGCTGATGCAGTATGTTACTCCAACTGCCATCTTTGCTCTTACTAAGAAAAAAGTAATAAATCAAACAAAGGAGCTACCAATAGAGCGGCATAAACACTCAGTCCGCTGCTCCGACATCAGGACGGACAGTTTGTGTCCTGCACGGTGACACACGGTGACACACGGTGACACACTTTAAGGGACTAATGCCTTTTCCACCTGTGAAACGATTCTGTTCCCTCTTTTTCTTTGTGCTACTGATGGCATTTCTTTCATCATTTCCCATCCTGCTCATTCTGTCCTTGGTTGCTGGCAGCTTTTCAGAGGAGGAAGCTTCTCCTCGTGGCTGCAGATTGTTCCCGAAGAGCTCAGATATGGCGATATGTGACTGGGAGATGGCGTGGAATGTGGCGGCAGCAGTCGTCGGTGGCGGATGTAGTGACTCCGGCCTTGATGGTTGTAGCCCTGCTACTGTGATGCTGCCCCTGGTGGATCACAGTGGTATCACACCGACTCCGAGGCCCACACCTATCTGCTCCTGGAGGATAGTCCTCTGTCCCACCTACAGTTTGGAGAGTTCCCAGGTTTCTACTTTGGGGACAGCATCTCAGGCATGGCACTTCCTTTGTACTGTTTGACCCACTCTGCGTGTCCGTCTGTTTGACCGAGCACAGCGCTCACTATTTCCTCCCACCCTCACATGTAGCTCCTCCTGAAAGCCAGGAGAACAGCAGCACAGAAAGGAGTCCCAGCAGTTCCTTCATGATGCTGGATGAGAGAGCAGTGAGGGCAGCTGGTCATTCAGCACCTCCTCACACTCACAGTGAGGCTCCCCAAACACTGAAGTAAAAATACAGCTTTGGTTTGTGGACCTTTCCCTGTTAACCAGAGTTTAAATACCATGGGGTCACGTCAGAACTTAGCTGCAAGCCCCATTGGTCCAAATTACATCATATTATCAAGGGGGTGCATGTACACACAAGTACTGCCTTAGCAAACCCAATCAAACATTTCAAATGTCACCACAGAACTGCTCAAGGATGTTTTCATGATCAGTAAATACCCATCTCTCTCCTGCCGGTGATCTCTGTGGACCCTGTGTTTACAAAGGCAGGCAGCTTTTTGAACATTGGGTTGGGGGGGGGGGTCCATCCCTGGGAGTCTGAGTATCGGCTCACGGATATTTGCTCCTGTCATTTTCCTGTTGTCCTGCACTTTGCCATACAGAGACATCAGGAAGCTGGGCAGAGCACCTGTGCTTCCCTGTGACGTTTGGCTATGGAGAGACCACGTCAGCTGGGGAGAGAACCTGTGCTTCCCTGTGACGTTTGGCTATGGAGAGACTACGTCAGCTGGGGAGAGCACCTGTGCTTCCCAGTGACGTTTGGCTATGGAGAGACTACGTCAGCAGCCTGGGAGGAGGACTCCACTTTAATGACAGTTTGATGATACAAATACATATATGAGATACATGATCAGCTGTGTAATTGGTGTCCTTTTTTAGCTAAAGGGTTAAGAAATCATTTTCTTGTATGCATCATACCATAAATGAGTTGCCCAGCCATTGGTGAGTTCATTCGTTCTATTTTTTTATTTTTTTTAGATTTTTAAGAAAACAGCTGTTTTTACTTTATGGGTGTTTTAGCTATATCAGGATAATTGTTGTGTTTTGCACTTTATGAAGGATATTCAATAGATTTCATTTGAATTTCCAAATTCCTGCAAAAGCAATTGCCTTATTTTGAATATCCTTTTATAAAAAGTTGATTAACCAGGTTTCCAGACAAGGTAAGCTCAGTTGGGTTTTTCAAGTCAAAGGAGAAACTGCTCAGACTAATGTCAGATATGTAACATTTCTTAAGTGTGAATTTCACTAGGCTAAGTTTAGAAGGAGTTAGCAGGTGTCATAACATGAGAGATGAAGGACTCTGTCACAGGCATCAGCAGAAGAAAAATGGGGTTTATTGGACTGTGAGGAGTCAAAATGGGAAGACTGGTATGGGGAAGGACACAGGTAACAAGAGAACTGATGTCAATGACTGGACTGGGGAACACAGGACTGGGAAGCATTATACACTGGACTAATGAAGGGCTGAGACGATGCAGGTGGGGACAGGTAGCACAACAGGACTCGGGATAACCAGCAAGAGACACCTGAGGAGAATTCGGAGGGAACCGGAGGACCACCAATGACCCCAATCCGGGGCATTGACAGGACAGGATGTGAGAGCAGGATTACTAACCAAAAGGTTAGACTAACACAGCACATCTGAAATCAGGAATTTAACTCCTATGGAGTTAATTTCAACAGTTTCTATGCTTATACAGGTGTTTGGGAACCACCAGTAAACTGTTAAATCAACACTTTCTGCATTGTTGGCTTTTTAACAGTGTCGCTATAAGCCAGCACTTGAAGTATTAGATATGAACACCAACACAGATGTCAATAAATGTGTCTATGAATGTTAACATGGTGCTATGTAATTGTATTTCTAAAAAAAAAGCCGAATATTAGTAAATAATATTACTAATATTCAATTAATAATATTAGTCTTTTTCAATGAGTATGCCCCCTCTTGAAAAAAAGAATTTTGCAACCCTATTTTTCCCGAAATCTCATAATCAAATTACACCACGATCACATTCAGAGACATTTGGGCGAATAATAGATCATTCACATTAAGATTATTAATAAATGAATATATTTTCAATTAACCAATAGCATGTGATATTGCCTTAACGCATTATAAGGACCCGTTCGATGTGCCGAACAAGTGTCATCCCTCTTTGATCCCGTTCTATCCCTCCTTCCCTCCGCTCTCCCTCTCTCTCTGCCACTGTCGGACTGTGTTCTGCCGGTGTGTTCACAATGCGCGTTAATGGTGTGCAGCTTGAGCGGGCCATATAAAAAACTAGGCAGCACCAGCAAGAGGCGCAACAAAAAATCACGGCGTCTTTCGGAGTGGAGTGCGCCCAGATCACAGACCGGGACCGGACGCAAATGAGCATTCATAGCTGATATTTCATCCGTTACTTAATTATGACATTGTTCCACGTCTCCTGCGGATTAGTTTTTATGTAATCTTAGTTTCCGTCTCCTTATATTTTATTCGATTATAAGTGTAAAATTGCTTTGTGGTCACATGGGGAGTGGAGTCATTTTTATTAGGCAGTTGAACGGCTTTTCTGTTCTGTAAAGTGGATATCAGCATGCTCTTAAACGCCAAAAGACAGAAAACAGTGGAAGTTTAAGATCACAGAGATGCAGGCGACGAGTTGGTGCGCGATTGTCCTGCTAGCGCCTGCAATCTGCATGGTAAGTCTCTGTTCATCACCTCTGTTACACGTTGCAGGTAACTTTATTGTTCTCATTGTAGCGTTAAATTCGTCATTCATGTATGACACGATGTTCATTTCTTTTTAAAGGAAACAACGGGCGTATGTTACTGTCTTACAAAATGAAGTGGAATTTGTTTGACTTATTTCAAACACATGGTCAAGGAATATACTTAATTCTAGTGGTTATTTTTAACTAATTTGAACAATATCACAAAGACCACTGCATAAACGCAATCGTGAATACGACTGATACTTCTAGGTAGAAACGTTACTTCTTAAAAGCTACCAGTATGCAATTTCGACGTTCTTCCTAAAGAGGGCGATATGAATCTGGGGAAAAGAAACAACGATCGGCATATGTTCTTGGCTGGATGCCTTCGTTGAAAACGCCGGACTTGGTAATTGGATGCATAACTGGCTTTGGGACTCCTTTAGTCAGTTTCATTTTTGCACGCATGTAAATGAAACTCAGACAAAGGTAGCGGTAGCTATTTAGTCCAAAGCTTTTATAGCTGTGTACAATGTCTTGAAATCTGAATCTGCAAGTTACAGGACTTTCTGTGCAATGCACCGAGACAACAGAAGGCGATGATACAGTAGGCCTAATATAAATATTTTTTTCCAGACCAAATCATATAGGCCTAACGGACAGATATTTAGTAAGCATGAAAATTTGTACAAAAAAGACTGGAGTGAGACTGAAGGCGGGTAATATCTTTTCGGTATTTATTTTATTTATACATTTAAATTTGTATTTTTACAAACGGATTTCTGAGTCCATTGACTGGATGAGTGAAATACGCTGTAATTTATACGAACACACTTTGCAGTGTTTTCTGGCAAACTGCTATATATTTTAATCACATTATACGATATATTCCAAAGCCATAGTTTTTCTTTATGATTCCTAATCCGTTGGATAAGGGTATCCAGGCTATTTTTTAGGAAAGATAAAATAGAACGGTATATGAACGACAGACAGTTGCCACCATTTTAATACCACTAATTAATCCACTTTAGTAATTAAAACTTGCGATAATCGCTTTTGTTCTTTTATGTGTGACAATGAGCGACAGAGCCTGATTTAATTTGTGGCCACGGAGAATAAAAAAATATTAAACACGGGAGATGATAAGTTTGGATTTTAACATATATTATTATTATTATTTGTTTTAAAAAACATCAATACAGTACAGAATGTATGCTTTCACAATCCATGTAAGAATGGCGCCAGTTAATACGTATTACGTATTTGAAGCACAAAATGTCGTAACTAATTTGACCATGTAATTACTTAATAAGATTGCGTTATCTTCCTTAAATTAGAACATATAGACTCCCACCCCCTAACAAATATGTTAAAGCGTCAGTTCATTCCCGATATTCATTCTACGAAACGGCGAGCATTCCAAAAACTGTCCCGAAGTTATTTCCTTAATTGTATAAACTTCTGGGCACCACCCCCCGAGCCTCAGCACCGCGGACAGCTCTCCAACTGGCGCTGAGTGGTTAAGTTCCCCGACTCCGCCAAAATGACACTTACTGCATCTTTGTAATGTACACAGTCATTCGCCCCAGGGCGCCTGCCCAGAGAGAGCGTAGATTCGCCAGATGCAAGATGAGAATTTCCCAGTCAAGGTAATATGAGTCACTTTTCAGTTCACAGCGTTTCTGAATATTGCGTTCAGTTTCAAAGAGGCGAACAGCGAAGGTTCATCGTCAGCTGTGACTCGGTATGAAGGTGTAAGAACCTGTAGCCACCCGAAGTGATGTATCTTGAACAGATATACATTTCCATTTATAGTTATTTGCAATTTAAAATATTATTGTATTTTAAAATAAGTTTTATTATATTAATTAGCTATGTCAGTGTAGTCCATTCTTACAGTATATGCCTTACAATCCACAGTTACATTTTTATATATTTCCATCCTGACCATTTACTATTAAACGGTAAATGTGTGCGATCTATCGTACTGCTCATTATACTATTCTGTTTATTTTTAAAATGCTATTATTGTATTTTTTATTGTATTTATTGATTCAATCATTTTATTGAAAGACGTATATCAGATTATTATGAATTTACTTAAACTGTGTAATATAACAGAACATTTCTATTATTGTAATTGGTGTATTTCTTTGCAGTACATTACTTATTATTTACAAAGTCAAACATAAGTCAGCACATGCTGCGTTTTTCAGATCACGACATAAAATTGAAAGTGAAGTGCTTTAATGGATTTCTGCAACGCGTAATTTTATGCAAGAATATCCCGTACTGTTCTGATCGCCCACTGTTGTACAGCATGGATCTGGCACCCCTCATATTACTGAACATTTTACCATAAATGCATCTTGGTGTCAGGCACTGGAATAAATGGGAATTCTATTATTACCAATACCACACCTATTCGCTTCTGAATGCTATTTAACTTCCATTTATTAGTTTAACTTCAGCATGCATGTAATTGTTTTCAGGAACAGTCACTAATCCTTCATAGACTCTTAAAATAACTTCACATTGTTTAACAAGTGCAGTATTGCTTAGAAGTCGAGAGTGTATTGCAATTTAAAGCATTTTCACTCCCCAAAACATGCAGTTTTTTCTGGACCATAAATGAACAGATACATAAGGCTGAACTGTAAGTAAATTGTTTAAAGTAGCTTAACATTTTAATTGGCACATTTGACAATCCTGTATTTAGACTAACAGACTATTTTTTAAAATATAAATCTTCAGCTCTCCACTTATTTTTGAGGAGAATGTCCATACATCATACAAAATGACCTCCTGACTTCAGAAAATGTGCTACTCTGGATGTACTCTGGATGTAATGTGCTACTCTGGATGTTCACTCCTGGGCAGGACAGTGTGCCAAACCCCAATTGCACAACATTAAGCTTTGGTCCACTTTTTGCCCAGGGGGGTTATAGTGCACCAGCCAAGACTTGGAGTTAAACACATTTGGAATCACTGAAATCTTACTCTAATGGGGTGGGGAATTGTGATCACATGATATCTATCATATGACTCTCTGGATTAATGAATGTGGCGCTTCACTTCATTGTGTGTTTATTGTGGCTCCTGTGCTCAGCTGTAATTGAAGAGTCTATGAAAGTTTTCAGTGCCATTACTGAGGTAGCACTGGTCTGTTTTCCCAAGCTGAAAATGAAAAATGTTGAATTGCTGTTGAAATAAATCTTTAAAAGGTGGGCAAACATATGAACAAAACTAATGTTGGAGAATTTGGCACCTGTCCATTACTTTTCTGAAAATATAAAGTCTATATATTTTAAATAACTTTCTCCATTTTTGGCACAAAACACAGAAGAATGGAGGATGATAAAATAAGATGAAATGCCAGATGATTGATGGATGGATTATTAAATCTCTAGGATGTCTGTCTTAAATCTGTCACTCTGCTCATCTTCGTTCAGTTATCATGACAAAATCCAGTGATAGACAGCCAGCTGTACCAAGATCATCTCATATCTAACTGCTTTCAAGAGTGGAAAAGTTCTGAAGCGTCATTAAAACTTTGCCTTTTGAATTTGCTCTTTGAGTTATTCGGCATTTTATTTGCACAGTGAGGAAAAAAGTTACCTCATAATTGTGCTTTAAAGCCTATTGAACATTCTATTCATGAAAACCATTAAGTTAATTTCACAGCTGATTAGCCTCAAAATCCATTTACATTGCTTCTTAAGAAAGCCTTATAATTTAAAGGGATTGTCATGTATGTGTTTAGCTGCTAGGACAGGCATGTTAACATTTGTTTTTTTTCTCTTTCAGTCTTTAATCAATCTTCTGTCATTTATTTATTTATTTGTCATTAATTGCTTTACATTTTTTAAATAATAAATTATACTGACTAGCTAATGTTACAAAAAAATGAGACATCCACTGTTCATTATATTATTATTGTTTAATACATGCTTAAATATTCATAAAATAGATTTTTTTAATTTGTTAATTATTTGGTTGTTTGTCTGTACTTTCACTTTAATTGTGATATAAAATCCTGGCCTCTTAAACCTTACATGTCCTACCCTTACTGTCGTCCCTCTGCAGGGAGGCATTACTGTAGGTCAGAGACTCCTGTCCCCTGAGTAACCTTAATTCTAGAAAATCAAAAAATGTCACTTTTATGCTCGGGGTGCTTGTTAATATAGTGGCTTCTATGCATATGGAGTTTAAGCGACGAGGGGATTAGGGTCTGAGTAGCAGCGCAGAGCATGCTCTCCTCCGCTTGGAGCTGTCCCAGGTCGTCCTGCCATCCAGTTTCGCAGGGAACAACCCCCCTCGTACAAACCTTCCAAAACATTTCACCATTTCCCCCCAAGATTTGTCAGGATGATGAAGTTCGCCGTTACCTTCTGATACATTGTTAGAGACAGAAGTGTTTCTGAGACAGATGCTTGTGTGCTTCTCGTTCCTCTTAAAGGTCACTGAGCTTCACTTTATCAGGGATCTGCTACAGATTCCAAACCACATCGTCACGTTGAAGCGGTTTTCAGGTTTCCCCATTCCTCCCATGTCCTGGGTCAGAACTGGGTTTTTTTTTTGTCTATGAGAAAATGTATCATGTTTTCTTCCAGCAAAGGACACATTATGGAACTAGAATCCAAAGGATTCCAAATCAATCATTATTGGCATATTTATTTGTTATAATATATATTTTACGAGTATATACATTCTCTGGGCTGTATGAGCTGTGTAAGCGGGATGTATGTTGAGTGATGTTGATTTCACCCACTGAGGGACCCAATGAAGGAAATCACCAATAACAAGTTATAACACCGTAAACTTAACACTGTTACTTCTTTGAACTGATTTGTAAGAAGTCTTGTGCCACTAACAGCAAATCAAGGCCTAGATAATTTGAATGTTACCAGTTTATAGAACATGAATTGCATTTGAGTTTGTATATCAAGAATGCTTCTTTTTATGCCAGATGATAATGGATGAGTGTG